GCACTGCAGCTGCACCCTGAGCTGCCTGCACTGACTGCATTCTTCAACAGGAGCTCAGGTTTGGCCCTTCCTGCCGCCTCTGTGCCCCAGGGTCCCACAGCCTCTGGCGGGCCAGGTCTCAGCACCACCACTTTACAGATTAGGTCTGACATGAGAATGGATATTCTTCTAGATGTGCTTAAATGCTATGCACCGCTTTGAAATGAAAGGATGCCCAGAGTGAGCAGAGACTTTGAATCTCATTCTCTGGAGGTCAAGGCTAGAACTGAAATCAGTGAAGATCTCCTTCTGTGGTGTGGTTACTTCATTCCACCAGTCAATAAGATATGCAAGAGAAGGGGTCACTTGAGTTTGAATTTTTTGGTTTCCTAAGTTGAAAAGTTCTCCCTTATTTGTGTGGCTTATAGGCTGGCTTGTGCACTCAATAATCAGAAAATCTGGTGTATTCTCTCATAACATTTGGTTAAGTGAAATAATATGAAGAAACCAATGCCTGTGATTTGAATATTTTTTCAACATGTGTTTTTGATGTTGAAACCTTAAACAGCATTTCTCTTGCACAGACAAATCTGTGTCAAGGGGAAGGGGTTTCCACAAAATATTTCTGTTAAATGCCAGTGTCTGTGTATATAGATTTATGTATTTTGGCTATTTCTAGTCCATTCTGTGACACTTAACCCAGTTTAAAAAGCTTTTCCTAATCTGAAGGTAACCTTCAAACAGCTGCTAAAAACAACTTTAAAAGGAAATGAAAAATTACATTTTCTTTACAGATATTTTCCAGATATGCTAAAATGATTGAATTTAACTTGCTATTTTTTTTTAAATTTCATTAGCACCTGTATGGCAGTTTATTAGCAGACAGCTGTAAGGATCTCATCAGGAACAGAGTTTAAGAGGATGGTTGCACTATAACTTTTTTTTTTTTGCCTATTCTACACTCCCTTTGCCATTCATTAGATGTGCTCAGAGCAGACTGATCCTGAGCATAACGAGCTCCCATGGTTCAGTACCTTGCTAATCAATCAGGCGACCTCCTGCCTTAAATTTCTGACCAGTAAACACATTAAAAATTTCGGGAGTAAAGCTTTTTTTGATGCTACAGATACCTGATTTTCAACTAACTGTGTTGATAAACTATATAGTTAATATTATCGAGTTCAAAACCCACCATGTCACGCACAGCATGAGACGGGAACAGCGCTCTTGCATCCTGCAATAGCCAAAGGCAAATACCAAGTGAAGCCACTCGATGTCAGTGTTGCTTCACCGAGTTCTGCTTAGCACAGCATCCTTAAAAGAGCTGAAAAGCCCATTTACAGAGATGTTTACATAGAGCCCAAGCCTTTTGAGCCATGTCTGGCTTCTTTGTTGCCTCGATGTTACTGTCCCCAAAGCCTCGTAAATTATCTGTATGACGAAGGGATGGAGATTACAGCTTTATGGGTTGTGAAGGGTGGCAATCATATCTTTGTCAGTTTAGGTCCACATTAATGTAGTTGGTGACTGAAATCAGTACTTTTGAAGTTAATTATTACTGAAAATGCATTGCATCCAACCGTGGGAAATAAATTGGCAAGCTTTGGAGTTCAGGGATTTTGTCTGGCTTTGGTACAGCAGAATTTCAGAGGGGGGAGTTATTTAAATATCAGTAATAAATGATTTGCATACTTACACATATGCTTCTTCTCTGCCTAGTGTTGTGGTTTAACCCAGGTTTATGTAATGCATGTGGTTGATAACCTACTTTTTTACAAATTCTCAAAATTCAGGAATGCTGTTTTGAATGGTGTGGATTTCTATCACTGTTTTTGTGTTTTTGCATTTGTCAATACTCTGTTTTAATTCTAGTAGCTTGTATTTATTCCCATGTGCTATGTTCTGCAATATAGGAACTGCACAATTTGGTATCTCTAAATTAGCTCCTATCACCCTCTTTTTAAAATTTGACTTTCATTCCTATCCAGTTGTGCTTTGTCAAAATACTTTAATTTTTTACAGGAAAAATTTGTCTAGGAATTTTAGGCATTGTTACTAAAGACACAAACCTTATGTGACCAAGATTCTTGTCTGTCTTTCATTTATTATCACCTTAATCCTTTAGCCATACTTAACGTATTTGACAGAAATAGCAGTACCAAAACTGAGTTCATAAAAATTTTTGGTCAGGATAGAGGATGAGGATGAACAGGAATTAGTTTCTGCACAGAATAAAAAGCTGAGGAAAGCTCAGTCATTATGTATTCATTGTATATTAAGATCTAAATAATATATATGTTTTTGCCAGTGGCCAGCCAGAAAGGTGCTTGTAGCTTTGAATTAATGACAGCACGTACTTCCCTTTACCCAGTGATGGTGGAAGGGAGAACTTCAGGAAGTGAGTTGGCTGCTCAAGAGTATTCATTCTTGAGGGGAAAAACTAGCACAGCAGCAGGAGCACAGGTTTAGTTAGTTCACACTGGTTTAATGCTGGATATTTGCAGATATTTAGTTCCTTCCTGAGAAAACGTACAAAGAGCAAGTCACACTGCAGAATCACAGAGGTTAAGGATGGAAGGGAGTGCAGTGGTCCAACCTCCCTGCTCAAGCAGGGCCATCCCAGAGCACATGACACAGGATAGTGTCCAGATAGTTCCTGAATATCTCCAGAGAGGGAGACTCCCTATGTTCCATTTTTTTCCATCTATGCCTGTCTGAGGTGTGAATAACTTCATTTAAGTTCTATGAGTGTATGTAAACATAAGTATCGTTTTCGAACTTGCCTGCCAGTTTGTGAAGTCTAAAAGCAGTTCTCATGTAAGAATCCAAATATTTCCTGCAAAATCTGCTTCCATATGAAGTGGGATTTAGGGCTTCTCTGTCAGTTTGCCACAAATTTTTCCTTTTGAGATCCAAGTTGGAGTAAGGTGTCAGATTATTTTTTTTTTAATCCCTTGAGGCCAGAGCTAGAGAATCAAACCCCCTTTCTTCATATATCCACCATGTATATAAACTTCTCATATATGGAAATGTTAGAGGAGCTGAGATGTTATCCCATTTATTTTTGGAACCTGATGCAAATCAGGTTTTAAAAGCCCACCATATCTGATCTATGATGCAATAAATACCTCCTTCTATATACTATTTGTATTCTAATTTTTGATTTATGGTAATTATCTTCTTAGCGTTGTACATAAATGTTCTGCTAGAATTAAATTTTTATGCATTTCTAGCACAAACAAGCAACTGTGTAATTACTTGAAGATAGGTTTTACTTATATGAGATTATCAAAAAAGTTAATTGTGAAGCATCTAATATTACAAAACTATGTGTGAATACACTGACTTAAATGTACAAAACTGAAGGTTTATCATGCTTATCATTGGTGTTCCAGAAAATGAAGTTTTATTCACTTGTTTCAGAGTAAGAGAGGGTCTCATAATCCTGATAGTTCAGGTACATCATGATACAATTTAACCTATGGAAGGCCTGCATAGTCTGGGAGTGTATAGACTAAAGCTTTATAACTAATGAAAACCAGCTGATGGGAAAAAGTTTAAAAATCATGCGTGTGTGATACAACGTGTTTTCATTAGGATATTGAAGTATCCTTCTAGGAAAGTGGAGGAGTTTTTATGTTTCCTTAAGAATCAAAGGTTGTAATATTTTGTAGTGAGGTATACATACCTATACATCAGTTTTCCCTTAAAAATGTTGATTTCTTTAGGGTTTGTAACTGAAATGTTGCTTTGTGTCATAGGTAACTAGGAGTATTTTTTAAATTCAGAGTTACAATGAAGAATGTATTTCAATAGTGATGGTGTTTCCAACTTCATATTTATGGATAATGCAGTTGTTTACGTATCAAAAATAATTGTTGGGGTAAAACAAAGTTTCCACAACAATTCCCCACAGCTGTGGGATGTTTGCACTCATGCATGCACACAGCCATAGAGATACCATCCCTTCTTGCTGGTGAGAGACAAGTCTGTTGATAATGGAAATCCTAGGTGTTCAGAGACTAATCTGGGATTGATGAAAACTTGTCCAGTTTAACTGACTCTGCAATTAAGAGGTGGAAAAATCTCAATTACAGACTTTTCAAACATTGTCAGCATTTTGGTGCAAGAACTTTGAGGAATGGAGAATATGTCCTTGTGTGTTTAGCAATGGTTCTTTGGTTTCCCACTGTGGGATTTTTTGCCCGTTTCAGAATATTCAGAGCTTCTAACAAACAATGATTAAAAAAAAAAAAAAAGAGGCTAGGCTCTTTTATACAAATACCTATATTTGGGGATGTTTTTGAACATGCATATTCATGTGTAGAAATGTATTTTGATTTTTATTTCATAGTAAATACTGTTATAGTTGGAGGTACTGAACATTTCATCAAAACTAAGCAGCACCTGACTGCTGAGTAGCTCTTGCTGTAGCTGTGAGGATTCCTGTCCACTTCTGACTATTGAAAGAAGGAAAAGATTTGTGTTGTGAAAACTTGGCAGATATAAATTCCTCAATTATGAACTCCTGGAACTGTACTTTCCTGTTAAAAAAAACAGAGAAAACCAAAAACACAAACCACAAAAAGAAAATATAAAATAATTTATGCTTAGAGGTTTATTCTAGTGAATAGAAGTAAGATTACCTTTCTTTAAAAAGCTTATGTTGCTAATGGGTGGGCAGGGCAAAGAATAAGTATGCCAGGAATAATTAAAAGTAACAGTCTGTCTCAAGCTAAGAAATTCTTTCTTTCTTTTTTTTTTTTTTTTTTGTAATGTTATGGGACACAGTTGTGGACATCAACAGAATGTAACTCAGTAGAATGAACTGATGCATTTATCTTTGTGCCAGTCTACCTGTTGCATTTTGAAGCAGTCTCATTTTTCTAAAATTGTATTGGATGGAAAATGCATCAGGTTTTTTTGCCTTAATCTAAACAATGAAATATAAATTAATTTCTATTTTAAAAAAGGAAATATTTTAAAAAATGCTTTTTTTTTTTTTTTTTTTTTTCTTTTTTTTTCTTACTACAGAACAGTGATTGGGAAGACACTTCACCCATAAAATGGATCTTGCATTTCAATTTCAATTTCTTTGCCATCCAGAGATACAGGAAGCTTAGAGGAAAGCTTATTGTGGCCTTGCTCCATATCAGTCAAGGCATTTAAATGCCTGAACATTTAAAGCTCTTCCATGCCCTTATCACTTTGTGTCTGAGCACTTTGTATCGTACGCAAGGTGCATGACATTATTACAAGAACAAATGTTACTTTACAAGAAAAAATGTGAACAGTCTGTGCTGAGAGAGCCTTTGCTGAATGGAGAGCCAAGAGTAGAAAGGACTAGCTTTGAACAAGAATGTTTGTCACAAGAATTTTTGGCACTGCCCATGTGAAGCCGATACCTTGCAGTCCCTCTCTGCACTTTGAGCTTGATACTCTGAAGTTTGAGGTTTCAGCCTACAGAGAGATTCTGTGTATGTTTCTGGTAGGACTTATTGCTACCTGATGTTCTGCGTTTGCTACATAAATAAGCTTTTTGTGTCATTTAGAAGACAAAATGCTGATGGAGTAAGACAAGTCTTCTAGCATGAGCTTTACTGAGGTCTTAATGCGTTCCGCCTGCGGCCGGAAAAGCTCCCCCCAGGAGGGACAGGGCTGCTCTCCCGGGCTTGGCAGGGAGATGCCTGCTCTGCTGGGCACTTCTTGCTCAGATTAGCATAGCCCAGCCTATATCACACACACACACCCAGTAATACCTCATTTTGCCACTGGAATGAGGCCAAAAGCACAGGCATTGCAGGGATATAAAGCGGGAAGTTACTGGAAAGAATCACAAACTAACGTGAGACTAGACCAAATTTTTGCAAACAGCAGAAAATGTGATCTTTGTTGTAGATGGCTCTTGCATTTAATGTAGCTGTTTATATGATTGAAGCACTTAATAAGTGTTTTTATTGAGTATAGTTACAGAACAGCTGCAGAAATCTTAAGTGCTTCTGTTCATTTTTTTTCTTTGTAGTTTGGAACTGAAAAAATCTCAGAAGAAAACTGGAGACTGACAGAGATCAGGGTGATTCCTCAGCTGTGCACTCCCCTGACAGAAGCACTGTTTTTGTGGGGTAGGAATGATGACAGGGGCAAAAAGGAAGAGAAGTACAGTCTGGAGGAAGATCCAGGCTGTTCGCTTTGAAGATATCAAAGCCTGGTGTCTGGGAAGGCTGCCTATCTTGAAATGGGTGCCTGTCTACAACTGGAAGGAAAATTTGGTTCCTGATACTGTTTCTGGGATGATGCTAGCCATCCAACAGGTGACTCAAGGTACAGTTAACTAATTTCAAATTAATATTTTAAGTTTGTCTGGTCATATTTAATGTTTATTGAATCCAAATAAAAGTATAAGGAAAAATATATAGTCTTAACTCATTAACAGATAGTGCAAATGTGGATAGAATTGCATTGTGATATTGTAGTTAGTTTCTGTGGAACTTTACTATTTATCCCATACCTTTGACAATTTTTCAAACCTTGAATATGGAAGGTGAGAGAGCAGTAACTTTGTTAATACAGGATATGGTTATATATAATGTTTTATCAGTTAAATGACCATCTTTTTCTGTATTTCACATGGAAAACAAAATCTAACTCAATGATAATTGCACTATAAAATATGCTATTCTGGAATAAACATGTGCATGATACTATTAACCTGTAAAATTCCAAAACACAGCAGGAAAAGTTCACAATTTTCTGTGCATAAAGAGTGTTCCTGCTAGGGACATTACCCAGGGAGAGGATCTGTGGCATCCATAGCTAGTATGCTGATTTAATGCTGTATTGCATTACCTACCACACCTCTTTTCAAGCAGCAATACAAAGTAGGGTGGAGCTAGATTCCATTTTACAGCATATTAAAAAAAAAAAAAAAAAAAAAAAAAGAAAAAAAGGCAGAAAAAGGAAAAACTTCCCAAACCCTGCACAATGACCTGCAGAAACTTTAAGTTCCAGTCGTCTTGCTTAGTAAAGTGATTACTATGAGGAAATAAATACTGTCAGTTTTTGATGTATCTTTGATAGTGTCACCATCTCTTGACAATATCTTATATTTGTCTCAGACAAATCACAGCTTCTTATCTCAGATGGACTTTAACTCCTTCCTTCATGTGAATGACATATACTGTTTCCTAGCAGTCTTCCATATTAAGTGTGCTTAACTATCATTCATGTTGTTAAACATTCCTTTAATTGAATTATGCTGGAACTTGAAACAACTGATTTGTATAAGCATTTGTGATTTTAAAGTAATTAGGAACATCTGCATTGGCATGATTTAACTTTAAGAACCTTAATACTGTAACTCTGCAAAGTATCTAATTTCATGGTATGTGTGTATACAACAATTTTAATTAAAATGCTCCTAATAGCAGTATGTTGAAATTCATCAAAAATGCTGTGTTAAACAGCATTTCTGCAGTCTTGGTAGTTTCAGCCAGGATTTTCATGTTTGACTCTTGTATCAAGAAGTTGTTTACTATAACAGATAAATCTATAAAGACCCAGTGAAGACAGAAAATACAGGTTTGCATTTTCTGGGTTATTTATAAGTACTCTAAAAACAATTTTATCCTTATTTTATGCTATTTAAAAATAAATACTTTGAAACACCTGATCTATTTCTTCTTTCTCTGCTTGTTGCTTCTCAAGATTTTTGAATGATTTTAGGGGATGAAATAGGAAGAGAATTAGAAAAGCATTTCATCATGTTTGTAGTGCTTTAATTTGCACGCAAATATAAGCTCTTTCTCTAGTGTTGTAATCATTCCAGTTACCAGAACTATCCTAATATTTTCTCAGGAAGAATTATGTATGAAAAGAAGTTCCATTTGTTATAAAGCACAAGTTCTACCAAAAAAAAAAAGCCCTTTCAAATACACCAATTGGTGCAAAGGTCCAGCTGGACTTGCACAGTCTCAGTCTGCGAAGTCAGCCAGCCACAAGTCAAAAACAGTAAAGGAAATCAGGCTTCATCAGTTCCAGCTATTTAATATTAGTTCCAAGTGTAATTTAATAATGCTGACATAGAATCCTTATTCTTACTTTGATACCTAAGGTTGAAAAAATAATCTTTGAATCTAAAATGAACATCATGATGCAGTCTTGAAGTTTGCTATATATTGTAATAGAAAGTTAAGAAATTTGATCTTTTATGTTTTGGTAATCACTACATAATTTATCTGAAAAAAGTCTCAAAACTTATTGATAGACCAGAGCAATGTGTCTCTAAATTAAAAAAATAAACCCCTAATTTTCTTGTTGGATTAGCATTCATTGCTCTCTTCCCTTTACCTTTAAAACTTATTAATACCTCATCAACAGTCATTCTATGAAGAGTCTTCTTTCCATTTAATTCTGTATCACTCATCTTGGCAAACAAATTACATTGCTGGATCCATGTAGGTGTCTCTTGAGTGCATAATCTTCTTTTTCCTTTCCAAATTGAAATCATACTAATAAAACAAAGGGTCTGCTGTGCAGGTATGTAGTTCTCAACAAGCTTTTGTGTTCTTCACTGGTCAATGAAGACTTAGTTGATAAGAGTTAATGAACATTAAGTTATTAGAGAGCATCCGAAGGAGGGTAACGAGGATGATGAAGGGCCTTGAGGTGAACCTAAAGGAGGAGTAGCTGAGGTCACTTAGTTTGTTCAGACTGGAGAAGAAGAGGCTGAGGGGAAACCTCAATATGCTTGTGAGAGGAGGTGGAAAGGTAGGTGCTGATCTCTTCTCTCTGGTGACCAGTGACAGGACCTGACAAAACAGTCAGGAAAGGTTTAGGTTGGATATCAGGAAAATGTTTTTCAACCAGAGAGTGTTTGGGAACTGAAACAGCTCCCCAGAGAAGTAGTCAAAGCTCCAAGCGTGACAGAGGTCAAGAAGCACTTGCACTCAGGCACATGGTGTGAGTCTTGGGGTGTTCTGGGCAGGGCCAGTAGATGGACTTGATGATCTTTATAGATCCCTTCCAACTTAGTTTATTCTGTGATTCTATGCTTTTGAGAGGTGGTGAATGACTGCATTTACATCACTTCTTTTCTTTCATTCACTTATTAAGTTGTCTACCTTGACTGACAAGTTTTCTCACTTGTGCTTCTCTGATTCTCTCCTGCATCCTTTGAGGAGGAGTGAGTGGCTGGCTGGGTACTTAACTGCTGGCTCGAATCAACCCACCACAGGCATGATTCATCTGACTAAATCTAACCATCTGCTTTGTTAAGGCTGATTAATTATATTAATAAGATTTCCTCTGAGTGTAACAGGGGATGGGCTCAGGTATAGACACTGATGAGGCAGACATCAAAATTTAGGTGTCTTAACCATTGTATCCATGACATTGTGGGTAATAAACAGTTAATGTTTAACAGTTCATGGTTAAAGGCAGGACTTACTGTTTTCTTTTCTGTAATTCATCCATTGACCTGTCACAATAGAATTATTTGTCGGTTTTTTGTGTGACATGGTCACCCCATACTCATATAAGAAGAATACTTTGATCAGCCTGGGTCTGAATTTTTCTTGGTTTCCTTACATGATAAAAGTAAGATACATTATGATGCAGTCTTTTCATGTAGCTAAATCTCATTAAACTGTCATCATGTTTTTTCTGTAGCCTTCTGAACATGTGCTATAGTCCCACCATATCTCTTCAGAATGCATCTGCTTAGCTTATTTTCACAGTGGTAACTTCTTTGCACCAAGCAAATTATTCATCTTTACTTTCAAGGCCTTTCATAGGTGATCTTTCCTGACACTATTCATTACCAAACTCTTGATCCATCTACTATTAATCCACTTTGCTATCCTTCTTCATTGTCTTGTCTTTTCAAACCAACAGCTTTTTGCCTCAGGATTTAAATTTTGCAGTGTATATTTGTTGGTAGTCATGCCCCAGTATTTTGCTATTTAGAATGTGGGGTTTGGGGTTTGTTTTTTTGCTTGTTTTGCTGTTTGTCTTTTCCTAGACAGAATTGTGCACACTGCTAACAGAGACTGGCATGTAGAAGCCATGTAGCTAGTACCGTGACCCATCAGTAAGCTTCCCTGAACGCAACAGAAATAAAGCCAAATTTGTCTGAAAAGTTTATAAAAGAGACCCTCTGTCATGCAGATGAGTTCATTGCCAGAGGAATTATTACCCAAGATAGTCTGCTTGAATATATATTTTAGTGTATGTAACTTATTTATGTTCTCTATACAGGTAAGGGACACAAATGAGTCTGAAGCAGTTTGGTCATGAAATGCTGTGAAAATCAAGTGTTCTGCATAACTGCTGAAGTTGTTTTACTCTTTCTGGGTGTAAATTCCTAATGTAAGAAGGAATGTAGAAGACGATCTCAGTAGAAGAAAAGGCTAGGAGAAAGAGCAGAAAAACAGAAATTATATTTGAGAGAAAAATAGCTCAGACAAAAGGGTTGATGACAAGATTTTTTTCTTTATCAGGAAAGACATTCAAATTAAAAGACAGTTGCAGCACATAGAGAAATGAAAATAAAATAACAGCACATAGAGAAAAGAAAAACATGAATCTGTTTAGATTAAAAATTGGAAGTAGTTCTAAAAATATTGTATTTAATTATTGGGTTCAGAAATGGATCTCCTTATCATATAATTCCATTCATGGATGTGCTAAATTACAAACTGTTGTTTGGCTGTCATAAGGGGAAGCAGACCACAGGGGAAGGTCTTCATAATTTTATGCTCCCTTTCAATTTTATGCTCTCTTTTGAGTTGCTGCTCAAAAAAAAAAAAAAAAAAAAAAAAAAAAAAAAAAAAAAAAGAGTGAAGTTTGGAACTTCTGTATATATGTGAAAAAGTTAAGACAAATGTGTAGGAGTTTCAAAATGAAAACACTGTCACTCTATCACTGATTCAGTCTTTGCTTGCTAAGTTTGTGGAATCATAAACATTTCTCTGTTTATTTTGAAATAAATATTGCATGTACTCAATAGCTGCCCACTGGAAACATGAGGGTATAAGATTTGGACTTTCAAACTTAACAGATTGCAATGAAGTCAGTGTTTGCAGTTTAAAAAAAAAATATTTTTTTGTAGGCAGCTAGTACAGGGATATGCTTAATGTAGAATTTATATATAGTATTATACATTTGTTGCCTTTCCTGTGACCTATCATGAACAAGAAATGCTTTGGCTCAAGTGGATTTTGGTGGGCTGTTTTTTTGGAGGGTGGAGGGCCCTTGAGACATATTTCCTCTAAAAGTTAAATATGTAGATGGCATCTGATGAAATCAGTATTGTTATTTCTGCC